CCAACGCGGAGGGCTCTCGGGGCTGGCGGGCGGGCGCGGCGCGTGCGCGGGCGGCGGGCTCGCGCTGAGGGACGCGGTTTACCGTGTGGAAGCGCCGTTGCCGCCGTGTCTTTGTTCTTTCGCCGAGCGTTCGGCGCCTCGCAGGAAGGCGGTGGGCAGGCGGGCGGGACGGGGGTCTTTGGCGGGGCCCGGAGCCCGCCGTGGGCGGGAGGCGGGAAGGACGCGGTGGCGGGAACCGGCCGGAGGGCGGGACGGCGCGCTCGCGGCTCTTGGCGGGAACTGGCCCCGCGGAGTTCCCGGGCGAGCGGGGCGGGTGCTGAGCTAAGTTTGAACCAGTTCAAAACTCGGGGGCGGGAACGGTTTAACCGCCACGCTCCCTTCCCCGCGCGGAGCCCGGGCCCGGCCGCCGCGGGGCGCTGCCTCCGAGGCGCGCGGTCGTCCGTCCCCCGCGGCCGCTGCCCTCGGCTGCCCGTGCCCCGCGGCGGGCTCGCAGCAGCTAGCGCCCTGGGACCTGCGAAAGGCGACGCGACGGTGACTTTCGATTTCTCGGAAAACGCTCGGCTAAGGTTCCCTTGCCGCGAGCTGTCGCCTCCGCAGCGTGTTAGGAAAATTGCATTGGTAGTGATCAGAAACGATGTTGGGAGCCAACTTGGACCATCCCCGAAGAAACGGCTAGAGGCTGAGGACGCAAATTCCCCTGTTGCTTTATCTCGCAGTGAAGTTAAAGGTGGCCCGGACTTGTAATGGGACGCCCCTGTAGGGCAAAATGCCTCTCATAAAGGGACCCAGGGTGGGTGCAGAGCGCGAATTTTAGTGTTTATATACAGGTGTACTTTGGGGTTGGACCTGTAGGGAAATGCTCTCAATAACAGAAAGACTAAGATTTTTAGTAACTGTCCGTAATGCTCACTTAGCCCGAGATTTTCCCGCCTTCCCTAATCATATCGTTCCTCTTGTTCTGAATTAGTTCAAAGCCTGGGAGTATAGGTGGAGGAAGGCTAAAGGATACAGAGAAAAGCAGTCGTGTGACCAAAGAAAAAGAAAATTATCTGATGAATAAATGCAAAAGTAGATGTTAGGCAACTGATTTCTAACCAACAAAATGTGACATTCCAGCTGTCACAGCTAACAGTCACTAATACACTCATTTTCCATGGCTAAAATACACCTAGACCAGCAATTCATAGTTGTCTTATTAACCAGCAGTTGCTACTTCAGAAGTTAACCACATATCCCTAAGTTGTTATAAGAAGTTGTTTATATTGTGTCCTTTAATGTTTAATATTGGATTGATTGAGACCGGGTCTCCCTATACAGTCCACTGCTGGCTTTGAAATAACTATGTAGCCCCGGCTGGTCTGGAACTCTCAGAAGCCAACCTCCTGCCTCATCCTCCCAAAGAGCTGAGATTATAATAGACACGTGCCACCACGCCCGGCCCCTTTAATAGTAAGTGGTACCCCAGGTATGGCTGTGCAAATCTGTACTCCCAGCACTCAGGAGGCTGAGGCAGGAGACCCTGACTCAAAAAGTTTAAGCAGGCTATTATGGGGGGGGTTGCATTAAAAGATATCAGCAAGTCAGCAGCATACACACAAGTGCAACAGTGTGAAATGCATCTGAATTGTTGACATCTAGAGCCAAGGAATGATGCTGAATCAAGGTTTTCCTAAAATAAGAAAAAGTTAGCTGGCTCCTGAAGAAAGGACAAGACCCATGGATGTGACTCTCTACCCTGAGGGATAGTACAGGACCTAACAAGAGCTTGATTTCTCCCTCGGAAGAATGAGAACGAAGACCCAGCAGTAAATATTTATATGACACATACTTAAGTTGAAGATGGAGGCTAGATTGGAGCAGGAAGGAGTGGTAGGTACCAGTGAGCTGCACCATTGGGTTAATTCAGCAGTAACATGAGCCAGCAAAGGA